GGCCATTGTGGACGCCGCGTTGGCGAAAGTCGAGTCAGTTCAACAGGCAACCTCATCATATATTGATGATATTTATGTTGATGAGAGCATGATTTCAGCAGCTCGCGTGAAAGAGCACTTGGCTGCGTTTGGTTTGACCTGTAAGGATCATGAGCGGTTATGGGACGGCACACGTGTGCTGGGTTTGCACGTCGCAGAAGATAACAACACGCTTAAGTGGACATGTGAAAATGGCATTCCATCAGTTCCTGAGGTCCTGACACGATGTAATGTCTTCTCATGGTGTGGAAAACTAGTGGGTCACGTTCCTGTGTGTGGGTGGCTTCGTGTTGCTGCATCATTTGTAAAACGCAGGACAGTATTGATCACGTCTGGTTGGGACGACCAAGTGACAGATGCTCCCCTTAAGAACATGATTGAGGACATAGCGGAAAGAATACGCCAGAATGACTCTGCACACGGTAAGTGGTGCACAAGCAGACACGCTTATGAGGTGTGGGTCGATGCAAGTTCTCTCGCCACGGGTTTCGTTGGAGGTTGACGGAAGCGTTGTAGAAGACGCATGTTGGCTGCGACCTGTGAAGGACGCCCAACATATCAATTTATCAGAATTGGATGCTATTCTGAAGGGCGTCAATTTAGCATTACAGTCGAGCACAACAGAGCTACACCTATTCATGGACTCCGCGTGTGTGCACCGGTAGGTATCAAACATTCTCACTGGCAAAGCCAGAATATGAACTAAGGCGGCAAGTGAAATGCTGATTCAGAGGCATTTGAGTACTCTTGAAAAGCTGATTCAAGAGTATAACTTATTGATCACGATAAGTTTAGTAACATCAAGTGAGAATCGAGCAGATAAGCTCACCAGAGTACTGCAACAATGGTAGGATACGATAAAGAAGGAAACCGAACCAACACGCCCAATATGCACTTCCATGGTGAACGAAACCTCTCCTGATCAGATACGTGCCATACATTGCCAGAGTGGACATCCTGGCGTCAGGCGGACACTATATTTTGTAAGACGACATCCAAGGCGGCCGTCAAGGCAGTGGTCAGAAAATGTAAGGAATGCCAGTCAATTGCCCCAGCCTCAAGTTGTTGGCCTTGTGGCAACCTAAGTGTGACTGAAATCTGGACCCGCTTAGGAATGGACATTACACATTACGGTGGGCAACACTACCTTACGTTAATGGATTGCGGCCCTAGTAGATTTGCGATATGGCGACGCCTGCTTCAACAAGACTCAAGAAGCGTCATTCGGCAGTTAGAAAGTATTTTTTTTTGAAATCCTGACCGACAATGACACTGCATTTTGCAGTAAGTCCTTTGAAGATTTCTTGGATGACTGGGGAGTCCAACTTCGTTTTCGCTGTGCCTATGTTCCTGCAGGAAACGGTATAGTGGAAAGATCTCATCGGAGCATAAAGCGAATTGCAACAAGAAAGCAGTGTTTGATAATGGAGGCAGTATACTGGCATAATATCACACTGACGGACATTGTAAGTCCACAAACAATACTAGTTGATGGGATGCCACAGCATGTAAAAGATCTTCGCCTTTTCGTTGATTCTGATACATTGCCGAGCGAATCCGATGATTCATCGTCTGACAGTGATCGGATAATTGAGATCTGCGAATCCGATGCTTCCACATACACAGAACTTCCGGAAACTCGACATATGTCTGATGACTCCTAAGGAGACGACTCTCTGACACGCATAAGTGAAATAGTGCCATTACGACGAAGCACCATGATAAAGAGAGCTGCTCCAGGTTGTTCGATTTGTGATAGTGAGATCAGGGGGGGAGTATAGCGAAGAAAACGGTGACTTACCTCGTCAAACCAAGCAACAGTGCATCGTGTGTATTCTACAACAGAAAATGTGGCGAAAAAGAAAATTACTTACCAAACAAAAGGGCACGTATTCCGCATGACATGCTGAAAATGGAATATTTGAATTAAAAAACAAGTCCGTCACAGGAGTCACTATAAAAGTATTTTGATATGCAAATTACTGAACATCCTCTCCCAGCTGTCGACGAATGAAAAAAAAAAGGTTCTGCCGATAAAAGTAGTTGGTGTTCTCAAATCGAGAGCGGAAAATTCGGGCATTTTGGCTATGGTGTTTGTTAGAGAGTGAGTTATTTTTCTGACTGGTTATACGTATTGTGATTTGAGATAGTACCGGCAAATCGAGTTTTCAGCATTTCTTTCTGCACCCGATATTCGAGACTGTACTTACAGTGATTTTTCTTTGTGTTGTGGAAGTAATCTGCGACAAATACTTCCTTTGCTTTCAGAACGCCTACACTCATTTGAGATTACTCTTAGTTTGGGCCTATCAGTTTGTTCACAAAGATTTTGGGGAATAAAAGTGACTTAATTATCAGTGTCAATTTGCATACATAAAGTTATAACATTCAATTTGACTTTAACTAATGTATCTCTTTTTTGTGTAGTGAAAATAAAATGTTAGTTTCAACTTTTGAATTCTCTTCCAGTTTTTGACAAGTTCTATACTTTTCTTTTTTAACTTTGAAAATGATTGTTCTTTTTATGTTTTACATAGTTGTCCAAATGCTGGGGGAAATTTTGTCTTTTTCATTTGTGTGTGTGTGTGTAATTATAATTGTGTGTTAATTTTGTCATAGTCATGTCTTTTGATTTTTGTTAGCGTTAAATTTTGTTATCAATTTTATTGTTGTATAAAGTCAGCACATGAATTCAGTGACATTTTAAACAATTGCATTAAGTGTTGTACATATGATCAATTAATCTTAACTGGATTAATTCTTCTTCTATAGACATTTTGTCTTTACCAAGTTTTTCAAATTTGCACTATCCAGTGGCCCCTCTCAGCTGATGTAAAAAAAAAATTATAATTGGTTTGTCAGCGTTGTTGTTTTAAAGACATAAAATTAGTTTGCACTGCAATGACCAATCTCTTTTTGGGTCTAATATTTATTTTGATTATTTCACTAATTTCCTTGAATGTTAAGTCTTCCAATTCTTTTGGAAATGTCATTGAGATTTTCATGATTGCTTTGTATCTTGCCAAAGCTAAAAAGAAATCAGTAATTTCATGTTTACTTCCCATGGCTTTGTTCTCATTTAATTTCTTTAATCTAGCATTGGCTGCAAAACATTGTAACCACATTTCATCAAAGTCAGGTTAATCCAATGGTAATAAAGATCCAATTGGTGACACCAATATTGAGATTTTAGATTTTATACTCGACTGCTTCCTGCAGCAAAAGAAGGACTATGCATACAAGTGTTTTCTGTTCATATACAAATTAGGCAAGTCTCATTTCAATATCCCTACCCATACCTTGCATGAATATAGAGTTGATCATGTTTTTATACAGAATTTTGGAGCTGATAAATGTTGGGTGGAAGGCAAAATAACATTAGTATAAATTTTGAAGTAAGAGTGTAAGCATAATAAAACAAGTTGTAGATTAAATGATAAAGTTTCCACCCAAAGCCGATTGAGGTGCAGAGTTTGATATCCTGTAGTTCCTGGATGTTTCTGAATTGTCTAAAGTGTCAGTTTTTACTGATTTTCTGCTGTGTGATACAAGTGTTTCTCCCAGTACTTTTGAGGCACCTATCTTCCTGAAATGTGTAGGTCAAGTTGTCAATATCAGCCACTCTTTTCGTTTGATGTGTGGAAGCTACTAACTCATGATTGTTTGTTCTGAGTTTTGTTAGGACCCAGTTGCATAGCGATTCTACTTACTTGCTAAATGTCCTGTTAAAAATGATTGTTAAAATCAGTAATTATCTTGACTTATCAGAAAAGTGATGTTGCAACTATATGGATGAAATTTCCAAGTGAAACATCTTTCAGTGAATAATCAAATGCTGTTAAGTTTTCGGCTGATTGACTTTTAGTAATATATTCATGTGACCAAATAATACCCAGTCATATTCCATAAACTTAGAGCAATTATCAGATAGATGTCATTTGAAAGAGTTCAACAAGTATTTAAATACATTCTCTCTCAATATTTTGCCATTTTGTCTTTTGTCATTTAATACATTGTTTTTCTTTTTTAAGATGATGAAAATTATTATTTTTAAAAAAAAAATTAAAATGTGAGCAGATATTTTTTGTGCTCAGTTCATGAACTTCACAATGAATTTTGTTTCAGGATAGTTTTTTAATGCCAGCAAGTTTTTAACAATAGCAGTAAGTAGCTTTGTAAATAGTGATGGATTTGTATGTAGATCAATTAACCCCTACCTTCCAGTTATCTCTACAGCTAGCATATTAGTGTGTGTGTTGGAAAGTGGTAGGTGAGGTAGAAATGATCTAAGACAGGCCTAAAATATTTCTGTTCAACATCTTTTGATTTCAATTGAGTTATTACTTTATTGGCATAAATTTTGCCAGATTAGAAAGCAGGAAAGCATAAGGATATAAAGTTTGTTATTTTAAGATCTTATTTTTATACTTGTCATCAAGAGAAAGTGTAAACAATTTTGGATCAGTATAATTCTCTATTTTCTTTGCAAAAGACAAAGACAAAACAGTTTCTTATTTAATATTAGATATGCGAGTAATGTTCTTATGATAATAGGTTACTGATGTTTTTCATTTTGTTTTTAATAACTGTCAGGTTAACTTAATGTTTATTAAAAAAATAATTTCATAAATCAAATCCTCAAAATATAGTTATATATTTTATGCACATGATTGCTTCCAGTTATAAGAAAGACATTGTTTTCAAAATATGCTTTAGTAAATGTAATTCCATATTTGTGTTTTATAAAAGAACAAAAAATTAAGAAAATATTGATGTTAAAAAAAGATACTGAAAACATAAGTGATTTGAACATCTGAAATTTTCTTATTTGATTTTTTTAACAGGTTAGAAAAAAAAGTTTGTGACATTCAAAAAAATTTGTTTACATGTGCCCCCAAAAATATCCTGATTTGTTTTAATTATAATTATTTATAGGCATCAATTTTTTTCCTTCATTTCAGGATGAGGTCATTGTTGAGAGTGCAGAGTCGTCGTCGTTGGTGGTGCAGCAGCAGACAAATCCTGCTTTTGAGGAGCTACGAGTGGCAGAGGTAGCAGTGCCATCAGCTGGTGCTACCATCTTGGAAGATGGTGACACTTCAGAAATGGTCCTGCTGAAGGCAGCTGTTGCAAAAGAAAAAAAGAAGGACAAGGGTAAATTTCTGACACTAGTGATTCCCCAACTTATTTTTTTCAAAACCCCAGCTTCATCAATTATTTTTTCATTTTTTTTTTTTGTAAAAGTCTTGAGTTGATGAACTCTAAATGAAATTTTTTCTTTATTTGATTTTCAGTTTGAGGCATGAATTAGGTGTGTGTGTGTATATATATATATATATATATATATAATGTGTGTGTTGTGTGTTCATGTATTTTGTGTGTTAGCTCTTAACTTTTTAAAGGAAATATTTCAATGTGCTTATGAAGACATACACACTGAAAAGTTCTCAGCTGACCATGTACATTTCACAGCTCTTGATCCTTCTTGGTAGAGAACTTTTTGGAACTTCCTCATGTGTATATTCACACATGTATGTAATTTTTAAGCAGTAATCTTTTGTAGTTTCTATATTTATAAAAAATATATATAAACAATGTTTTAAAGTGTTATAGTCCTCTTTTTTTATTTGTTTGGTGACTATCTTAATGTGTGTGTACACACACACACACACATGCTCACCTTTACCAGGTCAGTCATAAAACTGCATGTTACATGGAAGATTTACACAGCATTTTTAGTGTTTCATAGGATGCTATGTAAAATTTGGGTTCAAGGCAATTCATGGATTTTTAGCACATCCAGAATTTATTTTTGATTTATTTATTTTTAATGGAAATGTTTTCATTTTTACTGAGACTTTTTTGCCTTAGCTAACATATGCATTTTATAAAACTCACAATTTTATAGTTAATCTATTATAAGCAAAAAGTATATCACCATAAAGCTAAGAGACTTGTGTCAGAGATGCTGCACTAGCTGCCAAGAGAAAGATTAAATACTATATTACCTGCCAGCAACTGTGATAAGTGCTTTCAAGATGAGCACTCTCAGTATATAACTGGAGGAAAATAGACTTAGGTTTCTAGTTGGCAATTTTTAGACAGTAGAAGTTGTAATTAGATTTAAGTGTTTTTTTTTCATTAAAAGTTGTGGTTGGATTATTTATCAACATTAGATTTGTGGACAGTTTAGTAGTACTGAATCTTTTTGCCTCTTCCTTTATTGCAAGTTTTGTTTGTATAAAAGAGAAATTAATTTTTGTTGAATCAACTTTGTTACAATATATTTTGGCTATTTTCGAAAGATATTTTTTGATTTAAAAATGATGCCTGTATGGAGAAGCATTTACCATATACCAACACTTAAATGAGTCAAAGAATAAATATACATGAAATTGTTGAGAATGAACAAATAATAGCATGTGTTGATTGCTAAATTCAATCAGCTTCTTTAACATGTTGACTCATCAAAAGGAGTGATTATAAAATGAATATCTAATTTCTGTGAAGTGAGTTGACTTATATATATATATATATATATATTACTAGAAGGATCTAATACTGCTGGCATATGTTTAAAGATTGCTGTTAATAGTTTACAAGAACTCAATATTTATTGTCATATTGTTGGCTGATGTTATCAGAGGTAACAGTAAATAATTTCAAATGGTTTACTGCTAACAATACTAAGTTTCTGGAAAAATTAATGTTGTATATTCCTTTTTTAAAGTAATTTAAAAAAAAATAATCCCTAAAAATTATTTATACAAATTATATGAGAACAAAGTTTTATCTGCTAAAGATTGAACTTTTAATAAAAATGAAAAATGCAAATAATTTTTTTATGATTAGATTTTGTGATTTTCATACAGCATTACTCTTAAAATTAAAACGGAAAATAAACTATTTAAAATATATATTTTAAATATTCATATTCCTTCCCCTTTAAGTATCTGTAATTATCTTTTAAATCTTTTTTTTTAATGCTTTAAATTTGCTTTTTGTATTTTTACTAGTGACAAAATTTGGTCATTTTGTTTACATTTTTACTTTTTTAGAATTATTATTTTTACTAGAATATCAGACTATAAATTATATTAAACTACTTGAAAAGATGAATAGTATATTCAGTTAAATCTAAATTCAACATTTTTAAATACAGATGAGAAAATATTGGGCTATCCCTGTATCATACACTTTGAAATATAAATAACTCTGAAAACCTGTGCGAACCACATCCTTACTCCTTTTTTAATGAAACTTGTTGACAAGTGTCTGCACACATATTCTGGGGTAGTAAACCTCATTTTCAGTTAAAGTTTGTGCTTGGAAAATCTATAATAAATACGTTGTTCAGATTACATGACAATACACTTGTACATTAAGTAATTCTTTTCATCTTGCTTTTAAAGAAACGTTTTGTGTTAATAAAACTAATTTTATTTTCTATTATATTGAAATAAAAAGGTAATTATTGCCTTTGGGATGGTTTTGACAGTTAATGTCATTATGGTTAAGATCATTAAAAAAATATTGGTTATGTCTTGTTTGATGTACAGTTTAATGATTGTTATCAGTCAGTAATTTGAATTTCTGAAGCTTTTATGAAAAGCTTAATCAAGGATTAAAAAAGTTCTTCCCTTGATTTGATAGGAAGTACTTACAATGTCAATATAAAACATACATTCTTTGGAGAGGTTCATTATAGGATAGAGATTTCAATTTTGTTTTTGTTTGTTTAAAAAATTGGTGGAGAGATGATTTTGGTGAAAAAAAAAATGAAGATATATTACTTAATAGCAGTTCTTCTATGTACCATGTCTCTTCAGGATGTGAGTGATCATGACTCTCCACAACTTCCTCTCCTTTGTATCTCTTAACAGTGTTGTTTCATTATTTCTCCCAATCCTTGTTCTACCATTTATTTACACAAGCTTGTTAAGTAGGTTACTCATTGCTTTCCTGTATGCCTCCAAGCATTGCATTATGTGCTCTAGAAATGTCAACTCTTTCTGATTCTAAGTATAATCATCCTTTTTGTATTCATTTTCCCTCTTGTTATTCACATGTTCAGTCCATAGGATTCTCAGCATTTTAAACATTAGTTATACATTGCTGAAACTTCAAAATATAATATTCTAATAGACACACCTGACACTTTGAATATTTTATTTTTCCAAAGCAATATGTTCAATTTTTACAAATTTAAGAAATTTTTGTGTTTTACTGAGACATAGCTTGCTAATCTCTAAATTTCTTCTAAAACTATGATGTGATTTTTTTCCACTGAAAGTTAACATTTGAACTGAAACAAGGTTTAATTTTATATTTATTGTAGTGACTAGTGTTTGCTTTAATGATGGCTAAACAATATTGAATATTATTATATATAGATTATGAAATCATTCTTTGTATTGTTTCTATATAATTTATCTTTCTATTCTTAGAATATATTAACAAACAATCAAAAAGAGTCCACTTGTGGAACTGGTTCTCTCACTGAGTGCAGTCAATCTACTTAGATTAATGTGTTATCTTTTATCACCTTAAACAAATGACTGTTGCTTCTATCTACTGAATTTTTATATTTATTGTTGTCCATGTAATGTTCTTTTAATAATTATTTTATTTATATTTTGTAATATTTTAATTGCAACTAAATTCTGGAAATTTAACTAATTTTGAATCTTTAATAGACAACTTATACTATGTTGAAGTGCCTAAACAGATTGGATATATGATATCATAAATAACATGAGTATTAAGTTTTTTTACACTTCAATAAATCAATAGAAAAGAATCCACTGTCCTGACTTAATATGAATTTTTTCCACTTGTTTAGTCTTTGTCTAGTAACAAGCATAATTAACACACATCTGCTATTAAATTCTAAACTTTTCAGCTGCTAATTCAACTCTCAAAACATTAAGCTTTCAAGTACAAGAGGGAATATTTATGTCATATAGGAATTCTGAATTTTACAAGTAATAAATTATCTGCAAGACCAATATGAACTCACTCACAATAGTGAGATTGAACTCGCTATTCAGTTGTAATTAATCTAACAAGATCTTGCTAGATCAATTACAATCCTCACTGGGTGCTCCATTGAAGCAAATCACCATATATCAGATCTATATTAGATGTTTATTCTACCTAATTGATGTATATATTACATTACTACCAAAGAAAGAGACTTTATTGTGCAACTTTAAAGTGAGTTTGATAACAAATTTAGTACTAGGAATGGCATGTGAGCTGTAGAGAGTATAAGAGTAAAGAAATGATGTGAAAGTATAACATTGGTAAGTACCAAATGTGCGAAAGGCTGAAATATGTTGTGCTTGTTGTAATCATTATAATGGTAGAGATAATATGTATGAAGTGAATGCTAAAGGCAAATATGGGGAAAATGGACAAATACATGATAGAAAAGAAAAATATGATAATGTTGAACTTCATTCTGAAGAATTAGAAAATTGCATTTTTAATGCATACTGCATATATATATATATATATATATATATATATATATATATATATATATATATATATATATATATAGTATGTATATGTGTGTGGATCGTTATCACGTGTTTATCTCATGGTGTTTGTGTTTAATTCTTGAAATGTTAGCATAATTCAAAGGCATATTAAAAATTAGGTATATATTATTAGATTTTAATTATGTTAAATATGATGACTGTTGATAGTGAATAATGTAATACTAGTTGCATCAACTGCAAATGCTTGGATCTTACATTTTTAAGCAAAAGACTGTTGGTGATATGAAAATGTGTATCTGAGGAATATTTATTGTTTGTTGATTATTTATTCATATTCTTTCTGGGTATTTTCTCCATAATATGCATTTTTTTTTTTTTATACTAAGGTAACATTTTTGGAATCCGTTTTGGCCTTTTTAATTAGGTGGTCCTAACAGAGAGAGATCTCTGAGTTCATAAATGTAGGTTTTTAGATTTCTTCATGTCTCACCTATATATTTGTTATGGCATTGCAAGCAGTCTCTCTTTTATCTTTGGGTGCATTGTTGATTCTATACTTCTTGCTGACAAATCTTTGTCTTGGAGTTAATGGTTATAATTTTAGTGTTTGGAATAGTTAAATGTTTTTTTTCAAGTTCACCAAATAAA